TTGATGGTAAAACTAGCCTGATATTTGCATGTCCAGTTTTGTCACAAAGTTTTTGTGGAACTGGAATTGAGGAGCTTCATGTAGACGCTACTTTTAAAGTGGTTCCAGTAAACATGGGCTATCAATTATTGAGCGTACATGCTATGATACAAAATTATGTAAGTATATTATACCTAAAACAAAAATTTAACTTACAATTGTTTTTATTAAATTGATGTTCAATAATGAATTAATTTGTCTATAGTCAATACCAATTATATTCGCATTAATGGAATCGAAGTCTAGGAATTCTTATGACAGTGTATTTCGATATGTCAAAGATAATCTTTTAGCAAACATTTCTCCAAGGATTATCATAAGTGATTATGAATCTACACTTAGAGATGTTCTACAATCATATTTTCCTGAAGCTCGAACATCTGGTTGTTGGTTCCACCATAATCAAGTATCTACCTAAAAAATACAAATTTTTATTTATATTATATTTTTGCTTAATGATTAGTATACTTAAGTTATTTATATTTAAATCTTTTTAGGCAGTTTTTAAAAATATGAAAAGTAAAGGATACTATAGGCTTGTAAATACTAACCAATTTGCACTGCAAAGCTTAAAGCTTTTATTTGGCCTTCCATTGCTTCCATATTATATATATTATATATCAATGTAATGGTTAATGGTTATGATGATTTAATAAATAAATAATATTTATTGTTGGAAAAATTAACTGCATGTGCCAATTAAACAGGAACTTCATAAATTAACGAATTAAACAGATTGCCTGTGTAAACTATTTGAAAAAATATCCATCGAGCTCTCATAATATATTAATATGGTAATTTGTTAATGTATCTGCATCTTATTTTTAAACTCCGAATTCTATAGTTCTGAAGCGTACTGATTGGTTCACAGTGTTCGAAAGTTTACTTTCTTAAAAAAAAATCACGCGTTCATCCTGGCGTGGTCATACGACATACGTTTTAATTATTATTTAATTCAACTCTGTGAAGGTATAACTAAATCATTGTATACGAAAAACGATTCTGAGCAGAGACGGTATGCCAGTCTAGGATATTTTAAATTTTATTGATGTTGTTATTATACGGTAGCTGGTAAGTTGAATTAATATTATTCATGTATTTAATTATTA